TCGGTCGGCTGACTCCGGGCATGAAATCTGTAACCCTTTTGCTTCTTTTTTCCACAGCATTTATGTCCCTAACAACTGCTACGTCGCAGATGCAGCTAATTTCAATCCGGGATGGCAATGCACGGATATGATCGATCTGATAGTATATTTCGACGAAGTACTTAAACAGCTTCTTGCACTCGACCCCAGAAAGGGTGCTGGACCTGATGGTCTACCCAATATGTTCCTAAAGAACTGTGCGATTGGTCTATGTGAACCCTTGACACATATATTCAGTGAATCCCTTAGCCGTGGTGTCTTTCCATCATACTGGAAATTATCATACATAACCCCAATACACAAGGACGGATTAAAAGCGATGGTCACCAATTATCGTCCCATCTGTATTCAGTCCGCCCTTGCCAAGTTATTTGAGAAATTGGTGCTACCACAGCTATTACAATCTTTTGAACACATCATAACCACCAAACAACATGGGTTCACTGGGGGCAGATCCACTACAACAAATTTGTTTCTATATATTAACAAATTGCTTAATACTATGGACTCTAGCAACTGTATTCATAGCATCTACACGGATTTTTGCAAGGCATTTGATCGTGTTTACCACGAAATACTTATGCACAAGTTGAGTAGCTATGGCGCAGGAGGTAGTGCTTTGACCTGGATACATTCATACCTTATAGAAGGACGTCTTCAGGTGAGAATCGATGGCTATCTATCTTATAAATATGAAGTGATATCTGGTGTAACACAAGGGTCTCATTTAGGCCTGGTACTCTTTAATATCTTCATCAACGACATTGGTAATAATATTGTCTCAGACCATCTGCTGTATGCAGATGATCTCAAAATCTTCAGACCCATTGCCTGAAATACTGACATTTTAACTCTACAGCAAAATATTGATACTCTTTAAACTTGACCTCAACGTCAACAAATGCGCTGCTATATCTTTCACCCGCACGTACTCACCAATTCATGCAAACAACAAGATCAACGGCCTGGAATTAAAAAGGTTGAAGGCGTAAAAGACCTGGGCATCATAGTTGGTAATAACCTCACCTTCTCTAAAGATATTGATAAAATCACTTACAAGGCATTCAAAACCCTCAGATTCATTTAAAAAAACGGTATAGATTTCAGCAGCCCCTACACCCTGACTAGACTATTCCTGTCTTTGGTTCTACCTGTCCTTGAATATGGGTCAGTTATCTGGTCTCCTTTCTCAAATGTAATGATAGACAAAGTGGAGGAGTCCAACGCAAGTTTTGCAAGTCACTGGCTTATAAATTGTTATCATCAAGTCACACCTACTCCATTGAAGAAGTATACCAGCGCTTTAACATCAACAAACTATCTGCACGTCGACAGGTTGCTGATCTCAGTTTCTACTACAAAGTTGTTAACAACAACATTGATGCACCGGACATTCTCTGCTGTTTTGAATTTGCCTCAGTCCGCCCAACTTTCAGACGTAATCGAATACTAAAACTTCCAACTCCAAGAAAAACTATGTGATCCATGGACCCCAAAATAGATTGGCTAAATCTACCAATTCACTTCAGGGTGGGATTGACTTCTACAGAGGTACATACACGGCTTTCATCGATACCACCAAGAAGATTTATTCTTGTAATCTAGGATTTTGATCTATGCAACTCCCCCAAACTGCTACCACAATGCATTAAATATATATATATATTATTTGAATTTTTTTTTTTTAAGTACCCTCAACTAACTATTTTTTATTATGTATATTACCGATTGGCGTGGCCAATAAATAAATAAATAAATTACAACGAACGTATCACATAATTGTTTTAATATTTTTTAGTTTGTTAAATAAAACTTCGTATATAATGTATTGATAATTTGTTTCTTGCCGTACGTATTCTACTAATAGATATATGTATTGTAGTTTGTGCAAACTAAGAAACTTTTTATTTTGCTAAATTTGATAGTTTAAACTCAGTATAAATATATTCTTGATTACAACCTTGTAGATTTATGTGAATTGTTCGTGAATTATACTTAAACAGCAAATCGAAATTAGTCGTCGGACATCGTCACCAGTTTTCATTGTGTTGAAAATTGCTACAAATTTACAAGAGTTTATTGCTAGAAAAATATATCTGATATTCATAGGCAAGTGTATAATTTTAAAAAATGTATTCATGAATTGAATTTTCTGGATTATAGTGCACTCTGATTATATTTTTGTCGAAAAAATAAAGTTTTCAATATTTATAATTTGTGGAAACTTGGTGTTCTAAAGGAAATTAAGTAGAAGATAAAACACAATTTTTTTTTGCATTGGTGAGCGAAATTTAGGAATTGCAGTCATTTCTTTTAGGATATGGAGCTACATATTCTGCGTGGTGGATTCCTTTCTTAAATTTTAATGTGTAATGAGTAGTCGTTAATCGTGTAAATATGTGTATGTATATTTAGATTAATGTGGTTAGGTTTTTATGGTTAGAAAGCCCCGTTTATCAACCGATCCTAAAGTTCATGTGAGAACAATAATATTTTTCAAGATATGGCAAGATCAACTAATATTTTAATTAGGAATATGAATATTTTATAATTGTATTCAACCTCTTGGTAAACTCTGTGAATACATAAGTACATAAAATATGAGGAATAACGTTAAAATTTTTTTTGCAGCGTTAGAAGTCGAGAATAATTTTTACAAAACACCGCATATTCGGTGTTCAATATAATACTCTTGATTCTTAAGTTTTGCAATTCGAAATGCTGTAGAATAAAATTTAGAAAAAGTTTTAATTTAACTATTTTAAGTATGGCCGACATCGAAAACGTCAAGTACAATGTATAAGAACAAAGTATAATGTTTTGTAATGCATCCGAAATATTTTTGACATTGCACCATGTTTTGAAACGCATTAAACCGACAATCAATGCGCAGTGACAGAGAAAATCACGTATCACAAATAAAGTTGATGACATTTTTTTATACCCTTAACAGGGTATATTAAGTTAGTCACGAAGTTTGTCACACCCAGAAGGAAACGTCGGAGACCCTATAAAATATATACATAAATGATTAGCATGATGAGCTGAGTTGATTTAGCCATGTCCGTCTGTCTGTATATATACACACTAATCCCACAGTGTTTAAGCTATCGGTCTGAAAATTCGACGTAATATCTGCACGAAATTTGTTATGAGTTATTTTCTAAAGCAACAATGTAATCTCCGAAGAAATTGTATAGATCGGATGACTATAGCATATAACTGCTATAATAGCTGAACGATCGAAATAAAATGCTTGCATGGAAAACTCTTTTATTTGACGAGGTATCTTCACGTAATTTGGCATGTATTATTATTTAAGGCAACAATGAATTCTCCGAAGAAAATGTTCAGATCAGATCAATGTATCATATAGCTGGCATACAAAGTGACCCCTATTTGTGAAGCGTATTATAGCTTCGGTGCAACCGAAGTTAACGTTTTCGTCCGTTCCCACGACAGTCGGGTCTACGTAACCGGAACGGACCCGGGTTTATTCCGGCCAAGGACTGTCAACTCGGCAGAATTCTACCGCTACAACAACAACGTTTTTTCTTGTTTTATATTTTCATTGGCAACGTTGGCGCAGTGAAATTGTAAAGCTTGTTATTTATTGTTTTATTAATTTATACTAAATTTGTATAAAATTCAGAGGATGGAAGCATTCCCCCGAATTCGATGTTAAAATCGGTGTGTACGGAGGAGTATGTATGCTATTCTATTCTATGTACGGAGGAGGTACAACAGTTACCGCTGACTTATGGTTTTTGAGATATTTGCATTCAAAGATAAATAATTCAACTATTAAAATTGCATGTTGATTGATTTATATGGAATTTTATTTTATATTTTTAAATTGTATATCCACTAACACTTCACTAATCCATTCTAGACATTTGTTTTGTATTAAATAGTACAAAACTAACTTTAATTCAATATTAAACATTGGTTAAAATCCATTTATTCATACGACAACAAAATGGTTGCATAAAAACAAAAATTAAGTCTTACTATATTTAATAAAAATAAATATAAAAGAATGATTATACCGTCAATACAAAATTCATAATTTCAGAACTCAAAGAGCAGGTCTACGCAAAATAACTGAAAACACCACGGTATTGGACCGATCAGGGTTAACTGGTGTGTTATTTATTTCTTGCCATTGGGGTATTATTTGTTTCCTTTATTTCTTTTGGATCCTTAGTAAAACATGTAGATACGGTAACATTGATTATGTTTTAGAATGCAACCCTTGTGTTATTGTGAATAAATGAATTGAACAAAAGTGAAATATTGAATCAAAGTTTTTATTGCACTATTTAATATAAAATAAATGTGTAAAAACAAATTGGTGAAGTGTTAGTGGATATAAAATTTAAAAATATAAATGTAAAATTTATTATTAATGGAGATATAGCTATAAATTACTTTAAATGGAATAGGTGAAATTTTGAACTTTAATTGCAAATATCTCAAAAACCATAGGTCAGCAGCAACTATATATGTATATATATTTTCTTAATTTGGAGAGTCGCCTCTATCCAAAATGGCGGGTTGCTATTCTAAAAGTTATCCTATAATATATATTCCTATATATTTTAATGATGTGGTTTGCTTGTATTTTCGGAGAAATAGATTAAACTATTTGGTTTTGATCATAACATTTTTTATCTTTATACGCTTGCAAAAAACTTTGCAGGAAAAGTGTTCTATAAAGTCAAATTATAAAACGAATGATTTTGCAATGTTGTTTGACGTTGCACAAATACTGATACTTTGCATCAGTACGTTTTCGATGTCGCCTATGTAATTTTTCCGTCTATACTACTGTGCATTTCCACATACACCCCGATTCACTTAAATGGACAGAAGCTCCGTTTAAGCTTGGTTTTAAAGACGGATCTATTTTGAACTTATGTTGTGAAAATGAAAAATATACCTTTCATAATTTTGTTTATATACAGTGTTTTAATGAATTACTCAAAAAATGTACTTTTGAATTTGCGTCACTTAAATATGGACAGTAGTCTCAATAAGCGAATTAGATTAACCATACAAATGTAAATGTCTTATTAAAGTTTTATAAACTATTGCTTTTAGTATTTACTATTGCCTTCTATATTACGGATAGTTGAAAAAATTTGTTCGGAAGGCTATCACGAAGGTTTTTTAAAAAGTTCAAAGATATCTCACTCCATGCAATTTTCATCGCTCCTAAAAGGAACTCCCAATTATCGAATTGACTGACTGACTCATAAACCTTGCTGGTCATCCACCCCCAAACGGTTTCCATTATATTAAGGTCAGGAGAATAGGGTGGCTATTTCAATAAACTCTCATTTTGAGCTGTAGTCCAAGATTTTACTACTACCCTTCTGTTGTGGATCGGAGCATTGTTCTGTTGGTAATGTCCAAAGAATGGGTCCAAAAATATTGGAAAATTCCGGAAATGCATTCTTGAGTATGTGTTTGTACAAAGATGCAGCAATTTTTGATTTTTTATACTGTAACCCAATTGTTCCTTAATAATATACCTCAGGCCCTTCGCTGCTATGGTGACGTTCTAAACAGCGTTCTTTTTTCCTAAAGTTATAGAAATAATCGTTAAATCCTTCGGGACCATTAAAATTAAATTTTTTTATCCGAAAACACGACCGATTTCCATTAATTTTTCCAACACATGTGATCACTGCAAAACTGTAGCCTTGTCTTTCGATTCGTTGAGCATTAAGCGGTGATTTTTTTTTTTAATTTTTGGGCACCAGATGCTTACAACTTTTGATTACTTTGCTCACAGTGGAAGCACGCACTGGAGCCACTTTTCGCGTTTATTTTTGCTGCAGAGTCACTCGAATTGGAAGCTTTTTTTTCGCAATATACCACCTTTCTGCTTCTATGGTCACCTTTTTTTATTTTTGTCTTATATATTTTTTTCATAAGACGCCGGATTTCGTAAAAAACTGTAGACGACATTTGCACTTCTATTAATTTTGGAAGAAATAGCTCGCGCAGAAAGACCTAAGTCCTCAAAAGCTTCACTTTTGGCCTTTTCGACATCAGAAAATGCATATGCTCGTCCCATATTTACTAAAAAGACCTGAAATCGTTCCAAAAATCTCTTAGATGCCACAAATAACAATTTTATAAATTTCGCCTAAACGGACATGCCTTCACAATGCTGTAATTTAAAATGTACCTATTCAAGTGACGCAAATTTAAAAGCACATGTTTGTCTTATTCATGAAAACTCCGCATATAAACAAAATTATGAAAGATATATTTTTCATTTTCACAAGATTTGTTCAAAAAAGATCCGTCTTTAAACCCAAGTAGAGATATAGGCTCGTATCTTAAAAATAAATTGTGTACCTATTCAAGTGAATCGGGGTGTATCTATTTTCTATTTATATTATTTAATAATTAACTTTTTATTGTTTCTACTTATACACAAAATAATAATAAAAGGGTTTCATGCTAACAAGTAATACCATATCTACAGAAATAAATAATGATTATACCGGCAGCTATATATATATCTATATATATATAGACAACCTTCTCATCTACCCGAAATCGGGGGTTTCTTTTCTAAATCCTAGTCGATTATGCTATCAAATACCTTAATGGCATTATTGTGAAATTTTTTGTTCCGGCAATAAGTTTTCCACTGAAATGGTGTTGTGTGTGTTTAAAGCAGAGGTGCTCACAACGGCATAGCTTATTTGGCTCCAGTTAGCTCCTAGAAAATTGTTTAAAAAAAAACACAGCATTTTTACGAACATGCAAATTGATCACAGTAAGCAAGTTGACTTGCGCTGGCATTGTCTGGCTCGAGATAGCTTGCTCGAAACTAACAGGATAATCGTCATTTATTCGCCGTTGTCAGACATTGCCTCGCATTCACTTAGCTTTGGCCAAATTGCTTTATTGTTACGCCAAGGATGAAATGATGCGAGACTCTTTCAATCGAGAGAGAACTGTCAAAATCCACATTTTTTATAACATTTGCCAATCATGCCACTGTCGAACGAAAATGGATGTATTTTGCATATCGATATTATTTTTAGGTGCTCCGTCCCCGAGTAGGCCTATATAACGCATATACATCCCTATATACTTGTATTTATATTATAAAATTTTTAAAAAATCATATAACATAAAAAAATTATAACAAAGAAACCATACATATCATAATAAAAGATCATGGTTTTATAATGAACGTTTTAAAATAAATTAACAAATAAAATTTAGTTGCACGTTATTCAAAAGTATTTGTGTCGTTCCTTGAAATTTCGTTTCGCACTGCTTTTGTTAGCTATTTTTAGTAGGTTTATTTCTGGCATCCCGCCTTTTTTGACATCAGCTGTTCGAAATTCCCTGATTTTAATAATCAGGGAAAGAGAATAACAGAAAAATCAGCGAAAATGAGGGAGTCTCGCATCATGTCATCCTTGGTTACGCTGCAGTTACACGATCAAGAACCTGCTTTCAAGTCGATCACACAAACTGTGTGTCAAAATTCATTTAAATTGACAGCTGTGACACAGGGTGTAAGTAGTTTGATACTCAGTCGTAATTTCTAGATACCGTCGCCAAGAAATAACTTAAAATTCTTAAAAGTTTTGCACGAAATATATAATTTAATTTAATGGAAAAATGTTATGATTCGAAAGACTTTAAAAATGCAGATATTTTGCTTTTTTTAAATTACTTTTTCGGCACTATAAGCTATTTGAGCGATACAGATACTTTCATTTCTGCAAAGATTGATTGATATTCTTGTATTTTGATATCAGTCCATCGATATAACGAAAGATTTATATTCCCATTAATTGCTACGCTTTTGTATAAAAAACTATGTGGTTAGCTGTTTTAAATTGGTTGTTAAGTTGCCACACGATTTGATATCAAGACGGCGTTCAAGTTTGCAAATGTGATAGAAAATGTGCAGCAAGTTTTTGATCGTGTAACATTCGGGTTAGTTCAGTTAAAAAATACAATTTTGAGTCGACTTATTTTTTTTCATTTTGTTGCAAGTTTTATTAATGTTGTCGTGTGGCTTCTGAGTTCAGTTTTTGTCTCCTCTGTGTTAAAGTGCAAAAAAGGTTTCTGCCGCTACAAGAAAGAAACTGCAACTCGATATCCTTTCACCGAAGTTCCTAAATTTGGGAAATTTACACTGTATTAATGCTTAGTAATGATAGTCTCTCCATCTATGGGTGTTGGATGAGTCTAAAGTCATTTAATATCACCCACAGAAAATAAATATGGTTTTTATGCCTTCATAATATCAAAAAAGAAGTGTTATATACATTTGTTTTTTTTTTGTTCGATATGTTTCTCCCACTACTGTGATCATTTTTTGTTAAAACAACAAACCACTTTCTTATGTAATTATAACAGATCCACCACCGCGAATTCTTTTACTCAACATATATTTTTGGTTTCTCTTATATATGTATTTTGTGTATATACAATTATATACAGAACAACGTGTTTACAATTTTTGCTACCTACGTATAAGTCAGTAGTTTAAAATAATAGTTCATTTTCCAATGAAAGCTGTGTATTTATCTCGTGATGTTTTGTAAAATTTATACGGATTTTTGGGAATTTGTGTTCTTATATATTTTAAAACCTGAGTCAATATATGTATGGTATAATGTAAATAAACAAGTCACAAATTTCATATAATTTTAGTTTTATCATCTGTGGCAATACATAATAACTTCAGAAAAGAATAAATTTGAAAAGTAAAAATCTACGCTCTCGAGCAAACTATTGACAGTAAAAATGGCTTGTGCAACACTTAAACGTACATTAGACTGGGAAGCACTAAATCAGCGTCCTACAAAGCGTAGACGTTGCAATCCTCTTGGGCAGACAACCGGAAATGGAGCATCACCATCACGCTCATCTGTATCATCTACTTTATATGACAATGTGCAGAGTCCTAGTGGAAGTCGTATTTCCAAAGAACCACAGCCTAATCCATTCACAGAGACCAACTTAACAAAAATATCACCAGGTTAGTGCAGTAATTGAATATAATATATGAAATTTATATATGATGTCTTAAGAGTTCTTACAAAGATACAAGAACGTCTTTTTACCATCGTACATGGAATAATTTGAACATAAAATTTTAAATATTAATTGGAAATATATTTTTAATTAATTACCGTATCTTTTTTTTTAGATAAAATGGCTCAGGATATCCGTGATGAAATTAAACGACTGCATCGCTGTAAACGTCTTCAATTCCCACCGTCTAACGTAGATGGTATGCAACAGGACTCTGAATCGAGCGGTTCCGAAATGGGTGCCGATAGTCCACGTCGCCCCGACACCCCGCCGAGTTTGGTGCGTAATCCAGAGAAAGCGCTTTTTACATTTAAGCAAGTTCAATTAATATGCGAACGTATGCTTAAGGAGAGAGAAGACGAGATACGTGAGAAATATAATGCTGTGCTGACTACGAAGCTCGCCGAACAGTATGATGCTTTCGTAAAATTCACATACGATCAGATACAAAGGCGCTACGAAGCCACACCAAGCTGTGAGTAGAAAGTTGTATTTACATATACATATATCCAGTCTAATTTAAATACTTTTGTATCTGATATTCATGCCACGCATATAACGCATCGTAGACTAATGTACTTACAGTTATGATCAGAGTTGCCACTTTCCTAACGCACAGTTAAAATTATTTTTATTTTGTTAAATTTAATTAATGCTTCATTATTCTAAATGGAAAAAATTGAAACTATCCAACATGGTGCTATATTGGAAGTGGGCCTTTATTTATCCTGTGGTTATTGGGGCAGAAAATTCCCACTAACTTCCTGGCTGAATCGCGAAACATCAGTATTGAAACAGTGAAACTTTAAAATAAAAATTAAAAAGACCGTTTTACAGTAGGTGTCCTCTTCCCATTTTTGTTTAATTTCTATGTCTCGGAAACTCTCCTTACCCCCAAAGGAAATTTTTTTACCTTATACCTATGATAATGATTCCACGATTACGACTTTGGAATAGATAAATTTTGGGCTAAAGACAAAAAACGTGGACTACATAGAAACAGGTCGATCGGATGAATTATGTAGCAACGCAGTGATCGCATAGCGGAGCTGCTTCATTGACCTAGATCAGTGGTTCTCAAACTTTTTTAATGACGGAACCCTTTTGGGAAGCAAAATACTTGATGGAACCCTACAATAAAACAATTGTTTTTATAAGTGTATTCTTTATTAATCAGCATAATAAAAGTAAAATGTAACAGTGACTAATTATTATTTACTTCACCACTTGGCAAGGACGATAATAGAAAACTTTAAAAAAGAAAAAATCTAACTAGTGGGAGGTATGAAACTGTTTTTTATTTTTCATCAATTGGTTGATATCAGGTTTGATGGAAGAACTTTGGAGTCTCATATCAGTTTCGGCGTCCAGTCTATTGCGATATTTTGTTTTTGTGGCTGCATAAGTTGAAAATCCTGTTTCGCACAAATATGTAGTTGGGAACGGGAGAAGAATATCCAGAGCCATTTGGCCAAGCATTGCATATTCATCTTGGATTCTGCACCAAAAATCATTGAGAGGCGTCGTTTTGAATAGTGACTCCATATTTGTATCGGATGACATTTCTAAAAGAGATTCATATATGTATCTCGTTTGACATGTTTTCAGGCTTTTCCAAATTAGGTAAAAAAGGATTATGAATCCATGAATTCACTTTAATTTTTGTATTGTGTTCTTCGGGAAAATACTTTTCAAAAGATGCGCGCAACGAACTGCGATAATTGACCAATTCTGCAAACATATCATCTTCGAACATTTCTAAGTCTCACTCACTGAGTAACGTAAAGCTTTCTATTTCTTTCTTACCAATGCAAATGATCCAAAAATCTAATTTTCTTTTAAAAGCAGTTATTTTATTATAGGCCTGAAACACTGTTACCTGTTTGCCTTGCAACGATAAATTCAATTCGTTAAGTTTTTGAAAGATATCCGTCATAAAAGACAATCGAAACAACCAATTTTTGTCGTACAAACGGTCCTTCAAATTAAAAGAAGTATCTGCTGAAAGAAACATTTTTAACTCGGCTCTGAGTTCAAATAGCCTTGTTAAAGTTTTACCCCGAGACAGCCATCGCACTTCTGTATGGAGCAGCAGTGTTTTATGTTTGCTGCCATAATCTTCACACAATAATGAGAACAATCGGGATTGTAGTGGTCGTGATTTGATAAAATTAATTATTTTTACAGCTTCATCCATAACTAATTTTAGATTTGACGGCATTGCTTCATCGCAAGTGCTTGTCTATGCAGAATACAATGACTGGAACTATAATTAGGTGCTTTATTTTTCATTCGTGACACTGCTCCTGCTGTTTTACCTGTCATCGTCTTGGCCCCATCTGTACAAATGTCAATACAATTGTTCCAACTGAGATTATTTTCTTCAAAGAATAAATTTATTTCATTTAAAATTTCTTCCCCGGTAGTGTTTGTAAGCAGCGGTGAACACATAAGCATGTCTTCTTCAAAAGAACTTTTATATGGATATCTCACAATAACCAGCAGGATAGCCAAACCAGCGACATCAGTCGACTCGTCCATTTGCAAGGCGAATCGTGTATTTTGTAGACGTGTAACTAGTTCTTGTTTGACGTAGCTTGCCAGATCATGGATTCGTCGTGAAACAGTATCGTTTGATAGCGGAACAGTAGATAGATGCTTTGCAGATTTTTCATCGAGCATACATTTTGTTATGTCTAATACACATGGTTTTATTAAATTCTCAGCGATAGTGTGCGCTTCACCTGCTTGTGCAATGCGATAGCTAACTAAATATGATGCCTCCGTGGCCTTTTCGTTGATAGTTTATGTTACATGCATCATATTTCTTTCCGCGCGCACTGCTTTTGAACATTCAGCGTTATTAGAAGATGTTGTTGCAACACGTTTAACACCTTTAAGCCAACACGTCAGGATAGTGGGGTTTAAATAATGCACAATCGTTACTGCGTATAAGAGACTAAATTTAGCACCTACAGTGAAGAAATGTACCGATAAAACTGAGAACAGAATACAGCAGGCAGTAAAACAATGAACACTAGTTTCTCGCTAGCGAGCTTGTAAGTAGGTAGTAACTTATCGCTCCGAACGCTAATCGTCAACTGACGACGCGCGACGCGCAATCGCCGCTTTTATACTTAGTCCTAGACTCGATCTCGAATATTCTCAAAAATACTCGAGTCGGCAACTTTGATAAACAAAAAGCAAAAATAAAAACAGAAATTTAAAAATTGCGTTGAAAACAATATCGACTTATTATTTGGGTAAAACTATGACACATTATAAGTTTTGTTGTCACATGGGGGAGGGTACGCGCATTCCACAGACCGGCAAACTTAGAGTGAACGGGTTGTACAAGTATAAAATTGTTGATACCAAACTTATGACATTTTGTACCAGCTATTGTAACACATGTTCGTACAAATACAAATAAAAAATAAATAACGTCCATAGCGTTTTGTCTCCGCGCGGCCGCGGAGTCCGCGCAGCCGCGCAGCGACCAGAGAGAGGTGTTTTGATTTTTTTTTCTAAATTCTTGTGGAACCCCGACAGAGGTATCACAGAACCCTAGGGTTCCGCAGAACACACTTAGAGTATAGCTGACCTAGATGATCGTTACTACAACAACAACAACCATTATAAGCATATAAGTCGAAAATTGTGCGGATAGTTATTTCCGCGATCTAACTCTGTTTGGATCGGTAAGTTCTAGTTTAAGTTTGCCGTCATTGTATCCTACTGACCCGTGCTGGCATCGAGTCCAACCCGGGCCCCGAGGAATGCTTTGCTGCGTTTGCGCTAGAAGGCTCCATCCAAACTCCACCTCGGTTAGGTGCAAAACACCCTTTTCCCTATGGTCCGACCCCGTCGAAACAGCTCGTTTCCTGGGCCTTCCGTTAGATGACCTCGACGACAACCAAACTGGAACTTATCACCCAAACGGGGACTAGGTAACCGTTACATCAACAATAAAATTGTGCGGATCTCCTGACTTAAATGTCAGTAACAATTTTAATTATTACTTTTCCTAGTGTATAGTAATTAAAATATCGATATGGCTGTTGTTTATAATTATGTCTAAATAATACAATAAACAATAATTAATTATGTTTTTTGTTTCAGATCTTTCATAATCGGACCTCAAGCGAACTGAATTACTAGTCGCTAAGATATCATCGCGTATATACAACACTTTCTGTATTTATGCATTTTGTTGGAGAAACAATAATATAAAACTGAAATTCTCATCATAACTTAAAATATTAACTTTAATAAAAGCACTGAAAGCTAATAAGATGAAAGGATAAATATAAAAAAGTTAATATAACAATCGCCTAAAGGATAAAAATATTCAAATTTTTATATATTCTGTCATATTATAATTTCTACTCGAACACATAATTTTTTTGTCATAGTCGAAGTGAAGTCTACATTTAAGTAAGTAAGTTAGCACCTTATTAACATAATTTGTTATGTTCTGTAAAAATCTATTGCTAACTTCAAATTGTACTTTGTTTTCAACTATGACTATTGGCCTTTAAACTCAAACATATTTAATAAACTTTCCATAAGACACCGCATTATTTACAATTCAATATTTTATAAACACATACATATGTAAGTAGATGTTCAAGATTTGAAAGCTTATGTATATTTTGTTGGTTTTGAGAATGTACTGCTTTTTCATTTGTAGAGATTGTTATACAATTTTAATAAGACTTTATTGAGGAATAATTCATGCTATAACTGAATGGTTTGGCATTAAAGATAAAATATTCCTGTCGGAATATGTTTTTTTTATTCAATGTCTTGTGCTATATACAATATATATAATATAAACATAGTTGCGAATGGCAATTGAGTAAAATTACTGAAGTTCCCATCCAATTATGCACTTGCTTTCTTATCAGAGAAATGCTTAATTTTTGTTAAGAGAAAAAAATCTAAAATCATACTAATAATTTTTCAAATAATACACCTGCAGCAGAGGAAAAGCGTATACTTTGAAATTGATATAACAAATAAACAATACAAGCAACAAATAAACAACAATTAAAAACCTCAGCATCAGTAAAAAGAAATAATATTTACACAAACAACTATATGTTAATATATACTTAGTATAGAACAGATATTAGGTTAATGAAATTGAATTAATAAGATTATTATTTTAATAATAATGAAGTGAATATAAGAACATACTCGAATATTGAAATTATACTTTTAAAGGATAATGTCTACTTTGGGTAAGTAGTATTTTTAGTTTATGCATAAAATTAGTTAAAAAACAAGTAAGGAAGAGCTAAATGCGGGTGTAACCGAATATTTTATATTCTTACAGTTTGAAATAATCAAAGCCCGGGAAATACTTTGAAGTGTTGGCAAAACTTATAATTAAAAAACGGTGCGGAAGAATTCAACACTCATTATGCGACGAAAGTCTGAAATGATTATAATCATATTCGGTATCTTATTAACTTATTTTATAGGTTTTAGACTCACTTAGTTTCGTTACTACTTGTATATTCTGCTTCATGTCCGAGATACGTACACTGCTTCATCAGGTTTGCACACTTCAGGTTTAAATAGTTTTGGTTAATATCTATCAAAACTAAAAAAGCTACAATTCTAAAATTATTACCGATTATAAACGTATAAATTTTCTACTAAATAAAACAACAATTAGTGTTTTTTTACCACCTTCTTTAATAAATTTTTTCAGAATCAACAAAAAAATTAATTTAAATTAGATAATCAGGTTAGCCAGTGTCACTTTTTTTTAATATTGTTTAACATTTTTTAGCTAAGAACATATTTTTAAACTTACATATGTGTGTACTAATTTGAACATTTTTATGTTATTTTAATAATAAGCCGATCGCACCTTATTGACTATGCTCTCAAAGATCAATTGGGTAGCGATTTGTACAATTTCCAATATAATTTAAGGAAATTGATGAGCAAGCCTTTTTAATATCTTCAACTAATTTCTCATTAGTGGAATACTGCGGACCACACTCGAAAGCTTTGCGAGCCTACCATCCTCACATCTTTTCTAATACATTGATTTAAGGTGGTGAGTTAGGCGCCAAATGCATTAAATCGACCTATTGTCCTTCAATCCCAGACCGATTCACCGATTTCACATATTTTTGCATTACAAAATTACTATAGTAATAATATCCAATATTATACGTTCACTTAATTTTTATATATAAAAGATATTAAGCCCACCGAAAGTTTGAAATTTTTATTTTAGGTATAAGAGGGTTACATGTAGTATTGGCCCGATTGTATACATTTTTAACATCACGATTACACAATAAGACAACCGAAGGTCTTTATAGTAGGTGATAGAGGCAAGGGGAAGTATTGACCGGAAATGACCTATTTTTGACGCAAGGGTGAGCCCTATCAAAAAAAAATCTCTAAATATCACTAATATATCAGAGTTTTACCAATATTTCCGATACATATTCGGTTCTTGTTGTTGTAACGGTTACCGAATCCCCGTTTTGGTGATAAATTCCAGATTGGTTGTCGTCGAGGTCATCTAACGGGAGGCCCAGGAAACGAGCTGTTTCGACGGGGTCGGACCATAGGGAGAAGGGTGTTAGATGAGTGGGGTTCGTTGGGCATGAAGGTGGTTAGTGTCATGCGGAGACTCATTGCACGTAGGACATGTGTTTTGTATGTCGGGTTCTATTCTGGATAAGTAGGAGTTTAACCTGCTACAATATCCAGAACGAAATTGCGCGAGGGTCACTCTGGTTTCGCGAGGCTACTCGAGCTCTACGTTTGCTATGGGTGGTGGTTTGACTCGTAGTACGCCATTCACTGAGAGGGAGTCATTGAAGGTGTTGATGGCTCCACTGTGAATGGCGGTCAGTGCCTGTCTGAAGTTCGTTGCGTCCGAAGTCCGGTCGGCGTACTGTCTAATTTCGTCAACGTAATCAAGGAAAGACCTCTTGATATTCCTAGGAGGCGGCTCCGCTTCAAGAAGACGACTGCAGGGGTGGTTTCTACGAAAACAACCCAGCAGAAACTGCTTGGAGAGGAGCTCGTTATGGCGACCATATTGGGGCTGCATTGTTTAGGACCGGCCGGCCGATTGCCTTGTATGTCGCCAGCAACGTTTCTTTGTCTTTTCCCCAAGAGCTGCCGGCAAGCGATTTGAGGATTTTGTTGCGGCTCTGTACTTTGGCAGTTATCGCGGTCGTGTGAAGAGTGAAGGAGCAAAGACTGTCTAGTGTAACGCCTAAAATTTTAGAGTGGTTTACTGTCGGAATTTTGGTACCATCGACTGAAATATTTAGATCCAGTCTGTACTCCTTCGTCCAGTTCGTAAATATGGTCGCTGTGGATTTAGTGGGGGAGGTTGGTCAGACTGGGAGTTATGCTGTCAGTGCGCGAATTGCGTTGACAGCATGGGGCCACGTAACTCGTGGTCCACTCCCTGTGTGTCTTAAGGGCTGAGCAGGTCTTAAGATGGCTACATCCATTGCATGTATTGCACCTAACCGAGGTGGAGTTTGGATGAAGCCTTCTAGCGCAAACGCAGCAGTAAAATTCCTCGGGGCCCGGGTTGGACTCGATGCCAGCACGGGTCAGGAGGATACGGAGCAACCCTGATGCTAGGCGTTGCTCCAATGACGACAAACTTAACCTAGAACTTACAGATCCAAACAGGATTAGATCGCCGAAATAAAAGCCCTTGGCCGGATAAAATCCGGGTCAATTCTGGTAACGTAGAACCGGCTGTTTTGGGAATTGCCACATAGCCGGTATTTGGGGACGGTTAGATTTCAACTTTTTTGGCCTGAAATGGCACACCTTAAAACCATTATTTGTGCAAGGTTTTATTCAGATAACTTCTTGGTGCATGATTTGTATTGTCAAATGGAAGAATTGCATGGAGTATAAAATTTAAATATGTATATGTTCGATGTGCGCTTTGTATGAGTACGTTCACATACAAATTTTCGACGCGAAGCCAAGCATAGATTTGGGCAACTCATCTTTTTACGCTTTGCCAAACAACAGCCGCAATTTTTTTTAATAGAGAGAAACACTGAAAGCGTAGCGTTCATTGTGGCATACCCTTTGTTTTCTGTGCTTTATTGCTTTACTATGAACTGTAACGCAAATCGAGGAAAGTTGTACGTGAATGTGCCTTTACGCGATGTCAAAAATGCTAGAAAGCAATGTTCCCACTAAGGTTTTTTATCAAAGGAACATTCGGTGTCAAATTCGTTTTGTAGCTTAATTATTAGCAGTGTACGGTGTGATTTTGTATTTCTTATTTGCGGAATTAATTTTTTGATTTATAAATAATACAAATACAAATCGTTTTGATTTTATTAGGATAAGGCTTAAACCTACTAACGTTATCATATGAACAAGAAATTCAAATTTGCTCACAATTTTAAACAGAAGAGTGTCGGCAGAAGCAGTGAATATACATATATAGTATTTCCTTTAAGCAGAGAATATTCATAATTCTCTAGGAATTAATGTATTTCTCTTTATTAAATCAGTGAATGTTGAAGGATACACTAATAAATATATACAGCTGTGTTCATAAAAATAGCAGTGCTCATGAGCTGCAACTTTAAACTTAATTTTATATATCAAAAAGTAAATGAATGTTCACAAATTTAATTTTTTTTTAACTTTGTGATTATTTTAAACAAAAACAAATCAATTTAATATTCAAAATGTTGTTAATTTTTTTTACATTATTAATTTAAACAAAAAAGTGCTGTTCCACATGCTGTTTATAAAAATAGCAGTGAGTAATGAAAACAGTGGAATTAGTTGGAAAAAAACATTGTTGAACTCCAAAAAACTATTTTAATTTGTTTGCTTGGGTTAGTACCCATTATTTTGTATTATGGCCTGGCAACTGCAAGGCATAGAATCCACCAAGTCCTGGCAGCGCTTGACAGGGATCCGCTCCCATGATTTTTGAACAACCTCCCAATGTTGTGATCGAGATGTTGGATTTGCATTTGCATAATATCGTTTAACATCTCCCCATAGGTTTTCAATTGGATTTAAATCCGGAGACTGCGCAGGCCATGACATAAGATCGATCCGCTTTGATGCCATCCAGCTTTTGACCAGTTTGCTTGTATGTTTAGGGTCGGTATCTTTTTAAAACGTCCATTTCCCAATTTAGTGGCATTTCCCAATTGGCATAAGGAAACATAACATTTTCTAATATGTTAACATATACAGATCGATCCATGATCCCATCAATCATGAATATAGGGCCCACTCCACTGTAAGAAAAACATGCCCATACCATAATACTCAATCCGTCGTGTTTAACTGTCTTTAAAGTGTACCTAGGATCGTACTCTGTGTTAGGTGGACGTCTGACATATTGTCTGGAGCCCTTTTAGAACACAATTTTACTTTCGTCACTCCATAAAATACTTCGCCACTTTGTAATGGGCCAATTAAGGTGACTTTTGGCGAACTCCAAACGTGCTTTGACATGTCTATCTTGCTGGACGATGCAAAAGGCTGCGCCCTGCTATATCGCACAATAGATCGGTCCTCATGAGGTGTGGTTTCACGTTAGATACCACGATTTTCGGGCATTTCTTTAAAGTTTAAAGCATTATGAATCATTTTAGCAGAACATCCACATATTTCTTGGATGTCTTTATATGTTTTTCCCAGGTTTCTTAGTTGCACTATAATATTTCTTTTTTCAGGAGTACAATGTTTGCCCCTGCTCAAAATATAAATTTATTTTACTGTTTTCTAATGTTAATAATAGTCACAGACACAAAACCACTTACTTTTTATCAATTAAACGTCTTAACAAAAATTTTTTGGCTTATCAAGATACGCACTGCTATTTTAATGAACAGCCAAAGACTGGTGCTTCTAGCAAAAAGAGTTGTTCATTTGCTTAAATCTCTCAAATCTAACGGGATTTTTTCGTTTCTTCCTTATACACATTCCATTCTACAACAACAATGCGTAGACGTTGGAATAATCGTAACGGAACTTGAAAAAGATAACATTAATTGATTGCATTTCTCGCACTGCTATTTTTGTGAACACAGCTGTACATATATGTATGTATTTATGTATATTTAGTCCTGCCATAAGTTCTGTTACAAGTTCAGGCCATTATACAAATTAAACTCAAATACATTTTTATTTAAAGTTAATTTAATTTAATTTTTTTTATTAAGTGGGGGAGAGGGGCATATAAATACATATTTGCAATTCAACGTATTAGAAATTGAGTATTAAAAACAGATATTGAAATTGCTTATCATTGGCAGACAATAATTGACATGCTAGAAATTGTTAATCAATTTCATTTTTGATTTTACGCTCTCAATCCCAAGTCGCTGATTTTCTTTTTGCTTCGAATTTTATGGTTCTTATTTTAAACACTAGTTCGTGTTCTGGCTAAATTCGAACTTAGTGAAATCAGAGAACCTCAAACATCAGAAAACAAACTATTATAATTAGTATTATTACACATTCTTTGATTAAATTTCGTTCAATGTTCGATTTGTTTCCATACAGAGTTGAAAAGTAGCGAGTACGGAACGGAGATTGTATAAATATATTATTTTACGTTCTCTGTTTTTACTTTTTCAGCTCAGTTGTTTTACGTTCTCTGGAATAGCTGAATGCCAATTTCTGATGTATTCGCTTCGAATTTTATGGTTCATATTTTAAACGCTGGTAAGTAATTACGAAAATGGAATTTTGAAGAAACATTGGAATACTTCATTATTTAGTTCATATCCTGGCTAAGTTCGAACTTAGTGAAATCAGAAAACGTAAAGCGTAAAATATCAATAGCCAAAGAATGTACGATCAAAAGAAGGGCAATCCAAGAAAGTGTGAAAAACTCAAACAGATAAGGCAAAAGTTTAATTTCGTTCAATGTTTGATTTGCTTTAGTACAGAGTTGAAAAGTAGCGTGTACAGAACGGAGATCGTATAAGCACAATACTTTACGCTCTCTATTTCTACCTTCTCAGCTCGAACGGCTGAATGATAATTTCTGCTACATTGACTTCGAATTTTATGGTTCTGATTTTAGTTGAGGGTTAGGTGCTGGAAAAATAAGTAATTTCGAAAATCTTCGAAATCCTCAATTCAGGTAAGGAATTTTGAATTTCTCATCCACATAAGAACGCCAGCACCTATCAAGCCTAATCCAAAAAACAATTAAGGCAAATTTATAGTTGTCCCATTCATAAAACAAAAAGGAAATTAAACAATTAATTGGTTTGGTGAGGTTTCATTGTAACTGTTTGACAAACTTTTCCTTATATGGACCTTCTATCTGGAATAAACCCTAATTTTCAATCAAGACAAAATTTCAAAATATTTTAAAAGGTCGGTAGACTTTATATTCCCTTTAAACGATTCTAAAGGTATAAAAATTTACGTCTAAAAATTCTACCCTTCCCTTAGTTATACTGTAATAGTCTTTACATTGCGACCAAAAATTATGCATGTGCTACGTATGAGCTGGAAAAAATAATAGGGACCAATTAGGTTATTTATTAGT